AAACTTATAAAAGTTTTTAAAATAATTTTCAAGTTTCGCTAAAAAATATATAATCTAATAGAAAATATATAAAGTGATTATGTTTATTATAGTTTTTTTATTGTGCATTTAACAACACCAATAATATGATATTTTTATAACTTATTATTAAATACTTAATATACTATTATTTTTAAAGTTTTTTAAAAAATGTCAAAACAACTAAGCATCTTTTTGATGTTAAAGAAAGATGGTGCAGAGGAGCATAGCATTAAATGTAAAGGAGAAGAAGAGAAAGAAACTAAGCATGCGAAAAAAAGTGCAATGTTTTGGATTGTGCTATGACTTTGGGAAAATTGGACATATAGTCAAAAGATATTGAATTTATGTTTTGGAACACCATAAATGGATTGCCACCAAGCAATAAAAACATGGGCAACAACTAAGCTGGATTTATATTGACAAATCAAATGAGTGTTTCTCTTGCTGGGTTTGCGAAAAGTATCCAAATATTTGCAATGCAACCAATTCAGTAACAATGGGATGTAAATTTTGGAAAAGAACATATTTGTTACTCCACAATAAAGATGATGGGCATAAAGCTTGTATTTCTAAATATCGAGAGAACCTTCACAATATAACTCCAAGTCTTGAGAAAACTGTATCAACATCAATTTTAAGAACCACTGAAAATAACTGAGAGGAATTAAACAGACTTTTTCGGATATCATATTTTGTTGTTAAAGAGGATCTTGGATTTAAAAAATTTTCTCTGCTCTGCGAGCTACAAAAACTAAATGGAATTAAGTTGGGCAAGAACTACTTAAGTGACAAATCTTGCAAAAACTTTGTTTCGTCAATTTCTTCTGGTTTCAAAAGCGAATTAAGTTTAGACATATCAAATGCTCGTTTTATTGCAATTTTATCTGGCAGTTCTATTGATAAAAGTATTAGTGAACAAGAAACAGTTTTTTTAAGGTTTGTTAAAAATGGTCATCCAATAACTATATTTGCTCGTATTAACTCACCACTGACACCGATAACTCACTTGATGCCGATGGTGTATCAAATGCAATAGAATTTATTTTAAAAAGTTTAACAACAGACAAAATGAATCAAGATTTATATTTAAACAATATCTATGCAAATACTGTAAATGTTAACTTTAATGGTGCATCTGTAATGTCTGGCAATAAAGCTGGTGTTCAAACTAAAATGCAAAATAAAAACCCTAGTATAGTATATACTCACTGCATGGCACATAGATTAGAACTTTCTGTGTTAGACTCAATAAAGTTTGATATCTATTTAAAGGAGTTTGATGACAACATCAATAGTTTGTTTCGTTTTACTATTATTCCTCGCAGCGAAGAAAGGAACTGAAAGAAATAGCTTCTTTTTTAGATAAAGAGTTTAAGCAGCTAGGGAGATTGAAAAATATTTGTTGGTTAGCTAGCCGGGAAAGAGCGTTAAGATTGCTTGAAACTGACTATTAAGTTATTATTTATGATTTACAAAGCAAGGCAAACGAAAAAGACGAAACTGAACAGAAAGCTAAAGGATTTTTGTGTTTCATGAAAGACCCACAATTTTTATTTTATTTACATTTTATTCAAGATATTGTTAAATCATTAACAACATTGTTATTGGAGTTTCAAAAAGAAGAAATTTTAATTTGTGAGATTTTGTATAATGTTGATGCAAGAATTGCTATACTAGATGCATTATCAGTTATCCAGGCTATACAATATTTAATATTCAATATATGACTATACAATATTCAATATTCAATTGAATATTGTATATTCAATTGAATATTGAATATATACAATACAGAATATTGGACGTTTACTAGATAATTTATTTAAAAGAAAGAAAATTTAAGTAAAAGAAGATCAGTTATTCGACAAAAGTATTGATTTAACAGCATTAAATAAGTGTAACTTAAAAAGAATTGATGAGTTAGTTAGACAACAACCAAATGATTATTTTGATTATTATAATGAAAAATATTTTAATAAAATTATTGGTTGAGCAAAAGAATATATAGACAAGCGATTCTGTCGCGATTTCAATCAAGAACCATTAAAATTTTTTACCACAATCTTTGATTGTCGAAACTGGCCTAAATCCTTTACAGGTTCGCTAGAGACAAAAAAATGGTGATTTAATAAAATAAAAATTGTTTGTAACTTTTATGAGAACAAAATTTGATAAGCAGAGAAACTTCTAACTTATGTGTATTGCAGTGGCCTTTATTCAGGGAGAAAGTCTCTAAACTAAGGACAAATTTACTTTTAAGAATTTATAGATATATCTTGCTGGAAAATGAATCTGAATTGGTAAGTATAAATGTCTTGTTAGAGATTATGCTAACTTTCAGCGCTTCAACGGCTTTTATTTTGCGAACTTCATTAAATAATGACACCTTAGAATATATTATGCATATAAAGCTTAATGGACAATTAATTGAAGACTTTCTGTCCCAAAAACATGTCAAAAATTGGATTGACGCAGTGGTTGGTATTAGATAATTGGAAGGCCATTATTAAAAAAAGTTCTAGCGATTTTTAAATTCATTTATATAAATGTAAAAATTAATATATAAATATTAATGAGACGTCATTTTGCGATTTATTTCTTTAGTTCTTATTTTAATTTCTTCACGTTTTTTTTTAGAGATTCAATTTTTCTTGATTCTCTTTTAAACAGAGAATCAAGAAAAATTGATTTCTTCTCTGATTTTAGTTTCAGTTTGTGATGAAAACATTGATAGAAACCTGGTGTGTGTTAAGGTACCTACCTGGTGTGTGTTAAGGAACCTTCTGACATTGTAATAAACAATACAAGTGAAAGTGCATTGGATTCTTATGCATCTATAATAGAAGTATCTATTGATGGAGGAGGAAGTTCATATAAAAATATTTTAAGTGCGTTTGGAAAAATTTTTAAGTTTATTAAAAGTAAATTAAAATTAAAAAAAAAAAAAGAATTAAAAAATAATCAAATAAAAAAAAAAAAAAACCAGATTCTGTCGTTGATAAAGCTTTTTCAAGCTTTGCAAATAACTTTAGTGAATGGAGTAAGAATTTTTCTAAATATAAAGAAACTTTGTCTTATAGTAATATAATATAAAGTTTCAAGATTTTTTAAAGACAAGACTGCCTACCTAATAGATAAATGAAAACAAGTCTTCTAAAAAATATTCCTTAAAAACAAAATTTTAGTTTATTTCAGTGTTAAAAATCAAAATTAACATCAAAGTTTTTGTATTTCCCAAAAAACACTGTTTAACCAAGTTTATGAAACAGCAAAACCATTTTAATCAAATGCTAATACAAATACAAATATTTAAAAAAAAATTTTATCAAATACATATACACCAAAATAGCCCATTTTTACCAAATACAAATATAAATGTTGAGTACAAATACAATCAGCAATAACAACACTGAGTGTTTTTGTTGTTGATTGTATCACAATATACACTCATTTTCAAGTTCTATAAAACAGGTGTATGACAGAAAGCAAGCAAATTTTATAAGATTCAAAAACTAGATTCAGGGAAATTTGGAATTTTTCAGAATTCTTGTTAACCAAATAACTCAGAATAAACAAATTAGAAAAATAAAAACTGTGTTTATTTTATAAAAATTAACCAATTATTTCCATAACAAACATGCAAAACTAATGTATTATTTAAACTCTAAATAAAATAATTAAAATTAAAATAAAAAAGCTTTTATTTTAGTTCTTAAATAAAACATCATTTTAATTAAATAGTACTCAAAAGAAAATTTGTAAAAACAAACCATTTTTGTTTTAAATTCTAAAAAAATATTTAATATTAAACAAAAAGAACTTTCTGTCGAAATTCTTTTTTTGAAAAATTTTTATTTTTCTAATTCGAGGGCTGATGTATGTATGTATGTATGTATGTATGTATGTATGTATGTATGTATGTATGTATGTATGTATGTATGTATGTATGTATGTATGTATGTATGTATGTATGCATAGCCCCTGTATATATACATATATATATATATATATATATATATATATATATATATATATATATATATATATATATATATATATATATATATATATATATATATATATATATATATATATATATATATATACAGGGGCTATTCTAGACCATTTTCAGCTGCGCCAACTGTATTTGGGCGCCGCTCAAATTGAAAATTGAGGATCTTTTTTTTTTTTACGAAATCAGCGATTTTTTTACAGAAAATTGTTTTTTGTTTTGGCAAATATTGTATATTTTAAGAGAAATATCGTTACGTATCATTTTTTACGAAATGAACATTATTTTTGAAATTTTAATATAATTTCGCTTCATTTGAGTACCAGGTTGACATAATTTTTAAAAACTTTTTTTTTGAAAATATTAGGGACCCATTAAATATTCGAGGGTCTTGAGAGACCCTTTAAATTATTTTTTATTGAAAAAAAATTTAAACTTAGTATTTTTGTATTAGATAGAACACATTTAAGGGGTGAGAGCAGATTATTTTTAAAAAAGTTGTTTTTTGGGACACCCTAGTATGCATGTATGTATGCATGGATGCATGTATGCATGTATGTATGCATGAATGCATATATGTATGTATGTATATATATATTTATGTGTATATGTATGTGTATATTATGTATGTAAAAACTTTATTAACTTATTTTATTTGTAAATATTTATAAACTTGATTAGTTAGGAAATAAATCAAGAATGATTGCAACTAAATTGTAAGTTATATACTCTATAACTTAAAATTTAAATACATTTTATCAATAATTGTAATATTGTGTTTAAAATGTTTGGCTTAGCAGTTTATGCAAACTTTATTTCTAAAACTGTTTGAAGACATGAAGCATTATTTTAAGAAAGTTATTCTTATAAATCATAAAAATATCAAAAAAAAGAATTTAATATTGAGTAATATTAAGTCAATATATAGTATTAAAAATTAATTGTAACAATTTATATATTGTTTCAGAATGTTGATTTGTTTGGCAATGGAATGATTAGTCTAATTATTACTCCTGATTTTGAGACAAGAGATTCTAAGATCTCAAAAATAAGTAAAGAGATGTTTAAGGCTCAAGCCGAATGTAGAAGAAACCAAAATGATATAACTGTTTTAAAAAATCAACTTGATATGATATCAGCTGAAAATGAAAAATTTTCAGAAAACAATAAAAAGTTAGAATCGGAAAATAAAAAGTTTGAAGAAAACAATACACGTTTAAACGAATCTGTTACTCAATTAGAATTAAAAAACAAAAAGTTTGAGGAGAACAATAGAAAGTTAGAAGAGTCACTTATGATGCTGGAAGTAGAAAATAAAGTGTTTGAAGAAAACAATAAAAAGTTAGTAGAATCTCTTATGAAACTCGAATCCGAAAATATAGAATTTGAAAAAAGTAATGAAAAATTAAAAGAATCTCTCGTGAAACTGGAATCTGAAAATGAAGAATTTGAAAAAAGTAATGCAAAATTAAAAGAATCTCTTATCAAGCTAGATGCTGAAAATAAAGAATTTGAAAAAAGCAATCAAATTTTGTCTGGAGCTGTAACCATGTTGGAAGATGAAAATAAAAAAATGGAAAAGAATAATGTGATGTTAGAGGCTTCAATAGTAAAACTTGAAAATGAGAACAAAAAACTTGAAGAAAATAATAGGAAACTAGATGCATCAGTTAATATTTTGGGTAGTGAAAATATGGAGCTTGAAAAAAATAACAAAAACCTGAAAATGCTAGTGGCCTCGCTAGAGGAAGAAAATTTGAGGTTTGAAAAAAATATTAATTTACTAGAAGAAAAGAAAAAACAGTTAGAAAGTTCTGTAAAAAAAAATTGAAGAGGAAAATACGAGATTTATGGAGAATAATAAAATGCTAGATGAAGAAAATGATCATTTTAAAAAAAACAATGATAAATTGTTATTAGAAATTCGTCAGCTCAATGGGGAAATTAATGAGTTAGAAGAAGAAAATAATGAGTTTTTGAAAAACAATGAATGTCTGGAAAATGAAATTGCAATTCTGAAGAATGAGATTACAAGAATAGGAGATCTAAATCGAGAATTTGAGATTGATAATAAGAAACTTTCTGATCTAATTTCGACGCTGGGTTTAGACTTAAACAAACTAGAAGTTGAAAATAAAAAAATTACAGACTTGAATAAAAAACTTGAACTTGAAGTCGGACAACTAACTGTAAGTTTTACTAATTTAATTGTTATTATTGCAATTGTTAAAGTTTTTTAATATTTTTTATAATTGTTTTTTATATTTTTTATAATTGTTAAGTTTTTTAAATAATATTTTAAATTAAAATCATTCTTTAAGAATATTAAATTTGAAATGATTAAGTGTTTTTAATTTTTTTTTTTTTATATCTTAAGACATAACTTAAATTATTTTTTTATTAAACTGAATAAGAATGTGAATAATATATTAAAATAATTTTCGTCAAGATGCAAATGATGGTGATTTTGAGCCCATCTTTTTTTTGTCATTATATTAGTAAAGTGTCTTGGGCAGATAGTGACACATTAATCCCTCTTTTTTCAGCCTTTTGCAAATAGTCCAGCTTGAATGAGTCAATACTTTTTTGGTTTTTTATTGTACTGCAGGCAAATATTCAGATGAATATTTCTGTAAAAAATTTCACTAAGAATCTTGCGTATTCTGTAAAAAACATTTTCATGAATTTTGTAGGATTAGTATCATATTTTATCCCTATTCATAAAATTTTTAACTTAATTCTTCAAAAAATGGTTAGAATTTGGTATCTTTACCTAAATATATTTTAAAAAAATCTTTTACATATATATGATAATTGATTCCATCGATATGATAATTGATTCCATCGATATTATGATTGATTCCATCTATATGATGTTTGATTCCATCGACAGCTGTAAATTTTCAGATAACTAACAGTCCCATGTATGGATGATGTCCCTGTTGGGATGCAGTCCCAGTGCATGGATGATGTCCCTGTTCTTACTTTTAGTGTGTATTGTTGAGGCCACATTAGGAGCGCTTTGTTACAGCTTATTATTATGGTTTACCATTAAATAGTTCACTGAGTACTCTCTGTGTTCTATATCGTTTTCCTTTATCTTAAGACTGCACTCTTTTTGATGTTATTTCTGATCAAATTGGCCAAGCGCTTTCTCTTAATCCTTCAGCCAATATCGTTTTTTTTTTTTTTTAATGCTCATCACACTGAATGGCTTGGCTTTAGTGTCAGTGTTTCTGATTCTAATCATTACTCAGTTTCTCCACATTTACCCTTAGGTGCTTCTAATCACAGTTTGATCTTTCTAAAACTTTTATCTCGATCTTCTTCTTCATCAGCATCCCCTTATCACCGTACCTCCTAAAACTACCTTAAAGCTAACTGGAACTTTTTCTGTAATTTTCTTTGTGATGGCCCTTAGTTAAAAATTTTTCATCTTCCTACTGAAAAATGTGCTTCTTGTGTAACTTCTTGGATTCAGACTGGCTTGAAATCTTTTATTTCCTCTTGACGTTCCAAGTCAAGTCTCACTCATCTTCATGGCTTTCCTCACATTGTGCTGCTGCAATTTTCAATCGAAACCATTACTTCCATATCTACCAGCAAAACAATTCACCAGATAACAAATGTCTGTTTACTATTGCTAGAAACCATTGTAAAAATGTTTTGCCTAACGCCAAAACCTGCTATTGTCAGGTCACAAAATCTTGTATTTCATCTCAAAAATTAAGCTCTCGTCACTTCTGGAGATTTTTTAACAGTATTTATATTAAGGGCAAATCTGTTGTTCCACCTCTTTTGCATGTTTTAGATTTTGTCATCTCACCTAAAGACAAAGTTAAATTGTTTGCTAAGAACTTTTCATCAACACTATCTCTTGATTCCACTAGTTATGTTCTATGTGTATCAGGTAACATTTTAAAGTTATTGAATCCTTCCTTACCAATGAAAGTAATATTAAAGTTGTCCTTAATGGAGAGCATTCTTCTTCATATCCTGTCACTTCAGGGGTTCATCAAGGTTCTATTCTGGGCCCTATACTCTTTAATTTATATTCACGATTTTCCAAGGTGGATCTAAGGTGGCATGTTCGCTGATGATACTGCCATTTATTCTTGTCTTGATAAGAAGCCAACACTCCCTAATTGCTTGGAGGGGGCATTTGAGCTTGAAAACTTACTTCTGCTACAGCATAGGGCTCACAGTGGCTAACTTTAACTCTGAGAAAACACAATTTTTTTTAGCTAATTATCATTCCAATAATCTAGATCTTCCTAAATTTATGAATGGTAATGTGCTCGATGAGTCATCTACCCTTCATCTTCTAGGATTAATTCTTCAGATCTTTCTTGAAAACTATATATCAAAACAATTTACAAAATTAGTATTTGCTAAAATTGTATCTCTTTATTGTGCTTGCGACTTTCTTACTTCGAATTCTATTCTCTATCTTTATAAATCTCAAATCCGTCCTTGTATGGAATACTGTTGCCATATCTGGGGCAGATTTTCCAATAATGCTCTTTCTCTCTATTGTAAACATAGTTAAACCTGCTCTTGTAGCCAACCTTCAACCATTGTCACATCATGGTAATGTTGCTTCTCTTCCTCTTTTCTATAAATATTATAATGGACACTGCTCTAAAGAGCTAGCGTCTCTTGTACCATCTACTAAAATTCATTCTTGTGTTACTTGTCATTCTGTCTCATCCTTTTACTGCAACTGTTTCTAAGTAATCTTATTTCTTAATTCTTATTCGTCCAGTTTTTTCCCTCAAACATCAGTTGTTTTTTTAATTCATATAGTTTGCAATATTTTAAGCCATCTGTCAATCATAATCTTGCCTATAAACTTCATCTTTTCTCTTCTAGTAACTTCCTCTAATAGCGGTTGCTTGCAGCCTTGTTGGAAGTGAAGATGTTGAATATATATATATATATATATATATATATATATATATATATATATATATATATATATATATATATATATATATATATATATGTATATATATATGTATATATATGTATATGTGTATATATATATATACACACATGCATATATATATATATATATATATACACATGTGTATACATATATATATATATATATATATATATATATATATATATATATATATATACACATGCATATATATATATATACACACATGTGTATATATATATATATATATATATATATATATATATATATATATATATATATATATATATATATATGTATATATATATATATATACACATGCATATATATATATATATATATATACACATGTGTATACATATATATATATATATATATATATATATATATATATATATATATATATATATATATATATATATATATATATATGTATATATATTTTATATATATACATACATATATACATATATATCAGAGTTTAAGTACATGACATCATTGATTTTTTTGTTTATATAAAAGACCGATAATGTAAACAAACAAAAAAGTCAATGACGTCATGTACTTATACTCTTAGGAATAAAACGGAATAAATTATCAAGTCTGTAAATTGCAGCATATATTATGCTGATATTTTGGCCTACAACAAAACAGAGAAGACAAACTTTGACTAAAATTAAAATATTAGTTTTTCTTGATGTGCATTTATTCTTTTGTTTTAATTAAAAAGTTTATCCCAAATATTTGTTTTATCATTATCTTTAATATGAACAACAAAAAGTATCTGAGGTTTAAACATGTTTTTTAAACTTGAAGATTTTTTTCAAACATTCAACTTAAACTTTTAAGTTTTTTTATTAAAATTTTTGAATAATATTTATATTTCTTTTAAAAAATTTTGAAATCCTCCTAATGAATCCTAATTTTTTTCATTAATTAAGTTTCCTGGTAAAATCTCCTAAAAAGTCCTTAAAAATCTCCTAAAATCTCCTAAGTTCTTCTAATTTTACTACTTAAAAAAAGTGTGGTCACACTGGAAAGTGTTCTAAAGGATTAAAGTGTGGTCACTCTGGAGAGTGATCTGAAGGATTAAAGTGTGGGGAAAAAACTAGATAAATAAAAATTTTTAAAGTATGCAGGGATAGATACAGTAAAAGGATGCGAAATACTTAAGGTTTGAATTGAACTAAATCACATTAAAACTTTAATCAAAATAACAAATAAAAAAAAGCTCAAAATTTCCAAAATGCAATAGATTTACAATGGCAGGTGCTTACTAAAAGTCAATTAATTAAAATTTTATTAAACTTTAGTAATAATAGAAATAATTTGAAATGAAATAAAAAAAAAATTGTATCTATCTTTTTTTTTATATATATTAATGTCAATTTAGGCCATATGTCATTAAAAAATATGTGTGGTCATACAACCAATATTGAAACTGTTTATTTAATTCAGAATATTGGAATCACAATGTCTCAAGCCTTTCCAGGAGATGCATGCGGTTTTTGTATTGTTTGTCCACGCATAAGTTTTTTATTTAGACAACTTTGTCACTGCAGTTTGCAAGTTTTATTATATTAAGCGTTTCAATACTTATGCAGAAATATACTAAGTTTGTGGAAATTTACTTAGATATGTGGAAAATACTAAGTTTCAAAAACAAAGAAAGCAAAACTAACAAAATAGAAAATTAAAGTAAATTTGAATAGAAATAAATTTAAAAAATAAGTATATATTGTCCCTATATGAATATGTCTATGTCATGCATGCATATATATTTACATACACTCGTATGTTTGTTCGTTCATGTATGCATATATACGTTACTATTATATAAGCATACATAAATATGAATACGTATACACCCCTATCCAATTTCTTATTGTTTTTCTTGTTAATCTTGCTGCTCATATATTTGCTTCGAAACCATTTGTATTTTCTTTTTTGTATATAAAAAATCTTTCTGTTGTATGTTTTTGAATGATACACATCAAAACATACAGATTTCTTATGCCATTTAAGTCTACATGTATTTTTTTAATAAGACACACACGCACACATAAATATAGTTTTAAAGTTTCAAATATGCCATGCCGTCTACACATTTTTCACATAGCCTTAATTGTTTCATTCTTCCCTTCTATTCCTGTATGTTTTTTATACCCAATCGTTAAGCATTTTGTAATTTTAGATGTTACTTTTTAATATTTGGCTCAGTGTTACTTTTTAATATTTGGCTCAGTGTGCTTAGTTCTACCTGCCCCTCCTTTTTGGTCTACTATGTTATTGGTAAAATATACGTAAACAACTGGGTTTTGAGTTCAGTTGCGAATCATAAATGTAAGTAACAAATATATATATTGCAAAAAAAAAAAAAATTAATTCTAAATTTAATAACAAACACAGTAAAAAAACAAAAATAAAAACAGTAAACAAATTATTAATATTGTTAATTTTTTTCATTTTTTTCTAATTATATTAATTTTAATCTCCTGTTTTGTTAGTTTTGCTTTCTTTGTTTTTGAAACTTTGTTTTTTTCCGCAAAGTATTTATTATATCAAGCATTTTAATGCTTGATATAATAAAACTTGCAAATTGTTGTGACCAAGTTGTCTAAATAATATTTTTTGTGAACAAATGAGGTTATATTTAAATCATTACTCTCATATCTTAAATGCAGCATATTCCTGTTTTGCTTATAATGTTTTGCCAGAGTTGTCTGCCAAAGATGCCATGTTGCATACATTGATTACTTATCAAGACTTGTTGTCTTCCAACTCAAATCTCATGATTAACACAGAGTTAAATTTGATGATTTTTTATGACTTTAGTGTGCAATTTTGTTGATTTAACTTTTTTTTAATTTTTATACTTTTTCTAACTCAAAATATTTTCCAAAAAGTCATTCACAAATATTTATATAATGTTTTACGTAAATATTTAATTTACTACATATACTCTACGTAATAATTACTCTAATAATACTCTGCGTAATAATTACTCTAATGATACAAAAAGATTTTTTACAGCAAAAAAATGATTAAAGTATAGAACTTCCTGAGTACATAGTTAATTCGACTTCATAGTCTGAGTTTAAATCAAATTTTAAAAATTTTGATCTCGATGTTATTGTGCAGTTTACTGTTTTTGACACACTTACTCTTATTGAAGTTTTATTATTATTGGTGTTGCATATAAGTAATTTAGTATTTAACTTTGTACATTTTTGTATTTTGTACATTTTTTAAATGCAAATAAATAAATAAAAATAAAAATCTTATGTGTATATATATGTGCGTGTATATATATTTATATAAATATATATAAGTATATATATATATTTATATATATACATATGTATATATATATATATATATGTATGTATATATATATATATATATATATATATATATATATATATATTATATATATATATATATATATATATATATATATATATATATATATATATATATACATATGTATATACATATGTATATATATATGTATATATATATATATATATATATATATATATATATATATATATATATATATATATATATATATATATATATATATATATATATATATATATATATATATATATATATGTGTGTGTGTGTGTGTGTGTGCATTTGCAATTAACCAAACCATAAAAGACAAATAGATAATTCTCAAAGATGTAGGTCAGTAGTTGATTCCTGAAATAGAAACAAATAAAAGTCAAATATTTATTGGGCATGAATTAAACAAAAGCGTTATGTACATGTGTCACCAATCTTAGAAAATGGGAAACAGTATTTCCATTTGTTATTTATTCTGCAAAAGATCAAGGCTAGTTATATAGTATTTGTAAAGAATATGGAGATATTGGAAATATCTTCATATTCTTTACAAAAAAGAATATGGAGATATGAAGAACTTATGGCACCAAGCTTTTTGAACATTCCCATAGGACATTTAATGCATATCAGAATTCAAAGAGAAACCAAGATGCTTTTGAAAAAAGTCAACCAATACAGAATTGTGGGTAAATAGCGCAACCAAAACATAATTAAAAGTTTTTCAAAACTGATTACTTTCTAATTAAAAAAAACTGGGCAGTCCAGGAAAACATTAGTCATTTTGTTGAATTTATTTGAGATTTTTGGTCATATGGAGATTCACACGTTAAAATTACTAGCTAACGACTGGCATACACATCAGCAATTAGTGTTGACCAGTTTGTCAAAATAATAAGTGATAAGTTAAACAATGAGGTTTGTACAAAAGTTCAACATATCAAAATGAAGAGTTTATCAAGACTCGGGGGGGGGGGGGGAGAAATGCATTGGTTTATAAACTGTCTACCATTTTTACTTTGCCTTAAATAATCTTTTTAGTCTATTTAAAAGAAATATATTGTTTATTAAATGTTATAATTATAATGCTTCTCTCACAAGTACCCATTGTAAAGGGTACTCATGATAAAATAAATTTTATTTTATTTTTTATATTTGTTAGCAAATAAAGTATATAAATGAAAATTAGTGGGGAATCAATGTTGGCGTTAAAGCTGTCAATAAAACAATAATGACTATTTTTGTTAATTATTTATGTTTTGATTTTGAAAAACGTAGTTTAGTGCAATTTACGCATTAGCTAGATATTAGGGTGAAAAAGGTTCCCCAAATGTACACAGGATATTTAGACCGGTATGGTTAATTATTTTCTGGGTTCGTCACTGAGTGTCTTTCTTTAAACGCATGTATGCATGTTTTTATGTATACAATGTACTCAAATATAATATTTTATCAAATTAAGTTATTTAAAAAATTAAAAAATTTAAATTATCATTTAGTTATTATTAGTTTTAAAATTGTTTTTAGTGTGATGTAAAAAAGATATCTGAAGAGCGTGAAAAATTCTCAAAGAGCAATGATGTGTTAAGTAAAAATTTAATAGAAATTTCAAATGAAAATCTGAAGATGATTCAAACCAGTAAAAAGTTAGAAGATGAAATTGCAGCCTTAAAACTTGAGATGGATAAAGTTATTTTAGAAAATAAAAAGTTTTCTGAATCTGTTGAACGTCTCAAAAAAGAGGTAAATTATAATGATAATAAATTATGATGATAATCTCAAATAAAAAATAGTTTAGAAATTAAATGTTTGTTTTTATAAAATGTTGCAGTTTATGTTTATTTCATTTACTTTTGTTTACATATATTTTGCTTATTGATGTTTCTTTAGTTATGGTATTTTACCTTCTTAACCAGTCTCATGACACCATGTATAACTTAGTATATTTATATTGTATAAAATTCTTAAAAGACAAAAAAAAATATATACTAATAATAAAATCACTTAAAATGTTAAGCTCTGAGGTTATACATGCAAAATTGTCTATTTCTAGGATACGCGTTAATATTATTTTTTACTTTATTTTTCTACTTTGATATTCATTGCACTAAGTTCATTTAAATAAAATAAAAAATTATTCTTTTTCTTTAACTGATTTACTCCCATCAAGACTGCAAGTGACCACTATTAAGTTGGAAGTTACTAGAAACAAAGAATAGAGTTTAAATAAGAGATTTGTAGAGGTAGGGAATGAAATCAGGATTAAGAAAATGGTGTGCATGATAAAAAGAAGCAATTTTACCAATTGCTAACTTTGTTATCAATTTCCATGAGAGATCAGTAGTGAATGATAATCTAAGAAAACATGTAGAAGAAGACTCAATGAGAGGGTTACCATTTTTCAATATAGGAATGTCGACAGTGTTGCAATAGTTATTTGCAGTAAAGAGTTTTGTTGGAGTTAATAAGCCATAATAGAAATAAGATCAGACTCAGGATCATCTACCTGTTCTAAGCAATCAAAAAGTGACATTTTTTGTCATTCCAGGAGTATACAGTTGAGCAAATAGATTTTAAATCCAATTTAGATCATTAGCTAATAGCGCCACTTTAAATATAAGATTGTCAGGAAAATCATTACTGTAGAAAAGAAATTATACAGGACCAAGAATAGAATCTTGAGAGGTCAATTCTTTTGCCTCACCAACTCTATTTAATTCAAAATAGAATCTTTCATTTACAACAGTCAGCAAGTCAGCTGTAGAATGAGAAGATTAAAAACCGACTCAAGCTGGACTCTAGATACTTGGAAATTTGTTAAAAACTCAAAGAATTGGTTAATAATGGAGTAAAGATTGATCAGATGTTAGTTAGAGGGGTTAGAATGTCCTTCAGAGTTTTTTTAAATCGGAACCATAGATACCATTTTCCAGCAGGTAGGAAAACAAGATTCGTTCAAGCACTTATTAAATAGTCTAGATAAAATTAGAGTGTTCTGGAGAACATTTTTGTAAGGCTATGACCAAATGGTTATCTGGGCGGCAAGTCATTTAAAAGTTTAATTGCAAAAAACCTACAGCAATGGAAGCCGGGATGCTTTAGATGTCTAATAAAAAGTTAACTTGTTTAACTGGATTGACAGGAAACTCATGGCCATTTGATTCAGGAGTCAAATTAGAGGTTTTTTTACCTTAAAAATGATAAAGAATTGAAGTTTTAATAAAGCCAAAAAAAATGTAAATTTGCAAAAAAAAAAATTTACCATGTTTTTAAAAATATTTCATTATTTAAAATGTTTTATTGTTATTAAATATTGTCTGATATGAAATAACATGTGAGTTGTAAGAACGTTCTACTCCACTGCAACCCTCAATTATTGGGGGTCACTATGGAACAGGTAGGAAGGAACAAAAGGAGGATGCAAAGGACAATGCAATTAGGGGCAGTAAACGATTAATGACTTATTGATAAAAAAAAATTGATGATTGATTGATTAACCAATGAATAATCTATTAGTTTTTGTAATAATAACAAAGTAGCATTTTTTTTTAACAATAACAACTGTTTTCACTTTTCAAGTACCGGTAAAAAAATGTAAACAAATAATAGAATGTGGCTATATTTTTCATTAGAAAACAAAACAAAATGATCATACAAATGCAAACATTGTTCATTCGAAATTAAATTTCTTTTATTGATTTCAACCTTTTTATATTATTTAGAACACAAACATAAAGTAACACAAACTGTAATAAAATACTGTAATAAAAACATAAATGCCTACTGTAATAAAACAAGTAAGAAAGCTGAAGAAGTATCAGTTTGTTTAACAGCTGTAGATTGTATTTCTTTTGCAACTTTGGCCAATAATGAAGATATTAAAAATGGCTGGAAAACTCGTGGACTTGAAATCCTCAATTGACATGCTATAAAGGCAACAGTTGATAAGTACGCAAGCACAATAAAATTAAAAATTGCTCAAGAGCTTTAGCTAAAAAAAAAACTGGAGGAAGGTTTTTAATTTCTCTTGATGAGTGGAGTTAAAGTGGAACTAGAAGGCACATTGCTCCATTTAAATACTTAATGTACATTATTCAGACAAATTTTATTATGGTTTTGTAATGATTAGAATAAATAGTTCAATGTCTTCAGAAAGAGATGTTAATATTGCTATTGAAAAATTAAATGATTTTGGCTTAAATTTGATCAATTATATCTTTGGGTGTGTTACTGATGGTGAATCAGTCATGAAAAAAATGAGGCAAGAAATTGGAGTTACCCACCAACTTGACTATTGCCATAGAATTCATCTTGTGATATGTGATATTCTTTATAAGAAAAAAGGTTCAACAACAGAAACAACTGGAAGACTGTGATCTGATAAAATCTGATAAATTTGTTATTTTTACTACAATATCTTTGAGAACAAAATACTAAAATTGGTCAAAAACTATTAAATGTAGTCTCTGAGAAAAATGCTGAATGGAGAAATTATGTTATTGCTGATTTACTAAGCTATTTGCATAATCCAGATGACTTTAAATCAAGTGCAGAGTTACCAGGTAATCTTTAAAAATACCCAAATTAAAATAAAATTGCTATATTAGCTTGATATGTTTTCATATGTTTGTTTCTACATGAGGAAGTAGAAGCAGCACCTGAGTCTGATATTAAATATACTTCTGATGTAGAACCAATAAGAAAAAAAATAAAAGCTTAAGAATTAACAGAAATGATATCAAATAAAACTATAATAACAGTAAGAAATAAAGAACTAACTAGTAAGTCATCCCCTCAAGAGGTTTTAACTTGTATTAAACAAGAAATGACAGTACTTAAAAGCACTGGAAAAAGGCCAAACTCCTTAGAAAAGGTTTACAACATCATGCTTAGCTTTCCACCATCTTTTGTAGAAGCAGAAAGAAGTTTTAGTGCTGTAGGGTTTTTTATTACTTAGTTAAAAACTAGATTAAATAATGGCACTGTTAACAAAAGTAATAAATAATAACAAAAGTTTTAGAGAAATGAAATCATAAGAAGTTGTATTTACTTTTTTTAAACTGTAAGAATTTATTTGTAAAAATTAATCCAAATTATTTGATTAATCAAATATATTTTTGAAAGATAATCGTTAATCGATTAATTTGAAATACCCCAATTAATATACCACTACCAGTTGCAATTGGCCAAAGCCATTTAGCAATCTTCAGTCTATTATTTGAAGCAATTGCTAATTTTTATATTCCTGAATAATAGTTTTTATGAAAAAAAGATTTCATCATGTTTTAAAATAATCTAATTTAATGTTTTTAAATATCTAATTTTAAAATTCATCATGTTTTAAAAAATCTAATTTTAAAATTTAAGTGTGTATTTTTTCGACCATGAACAACACTATGTAATGCTTGTCTTTTAAGTTTGTTTATTTTTACTCGCTTTTTACTCGCTTTTTACTCGCTTTTGAAGTTGGTTGAAGTAATAACGAGCCTTTATTTACCTCATTTTTTTATTTTATTTTATTTTTGGCATATAACCATAATTATTGTATTTCCTGTATTTGCATTACCTGGATTAACATCTATTTTAAACAAATAATATTTTAAACATGTTGTGAAAGTTTTATGAAAAAAACTATTTTTGTTGCAGTATTTGTTGTTTTTTCTGCAAATTGTGATCTGTTTATATTGAGATAACTAACCCCTTGATATTTATGACATTCCACAATTTCCATAATACTAGAATAGTTCCACAATTTCCATAGTACAAAAATACTAGAAAAAGCAGTATACTCACAATTGGTTGATTTATTTGGAAAAAAAACCTATTAAACAATTAACAGTTTGGTACTACTCCCTAATACTTACTAACAAATAATATATGCAAAGAAGGTAACACTGGATGCCTGGTAAGAACAGTTTTTGATGATCTGTCTAAGGCATTTGGTACCATAAGTCCTAGTGTTCTGCTTAACAAATTACAGTTTGTATGCTTTTTATGGAAATGGAATTGAATGAATAATTAATTACCTTTTAAATAATTTTTTTTTCTTCCCCTAGGCAAAGGTACAGTCAATGAGGCTTTATAAAATTTAAAAAACATGATAACAGGAAAATTTATTTTATCTAAAAGTTTATTTTTTATCTGTATAAACATTTTTAGTTGATAAATGATAATAATAATAGTTATAATAATAATAATAATAATAATAAATAATAATAATAACAACAATAATAATAATTATTGCAGTTGAAATAAATTTTTATCTTTTTTGGTTAATAAAATTTAATGAAACTTTATTAAGAAACTTTGAATTTTTTTTTTTTTTAAGCTAAAGTTTAAAGTTTGCTTTGAATTTGAAAGCAAATATGTTGACATGGTGACAAAAACAAAACAAAAAACATTTTTAAAACTTAATTAAGCTTTTTAATTCAAGTTTAGAGTTGTTTTAACTCTTGTACTTGAATTCTGTTTTTAATAAGTAAGCAGTATGATTTGGCTTAACCAATAATGTTTAAAAGAAAAATTTTAAAATTATGTTGTTCTTAGATAACTTACAAGGTATAAACTTCAAAAAGACCATGATGAGTTCGACATCTCTTTTAGTTTCTTTTTACTTTTTTTACTTTTAGATCAGGTTTTTTTTTATGTAAAATATTAAAAATCAAGTTTTGCATAATTTGTATATCTTTTAACAATTTCATTTTTGCTCTTTATGCAATCTTTTTTTTTTTTTTTTTTTTTTGAAAAGTGTTGAGTATTCATAATACTCTTGTACTGAGATTTTTTTTTAGACTGAAGAGATTGGTACTGAGAATAGGAAGTTTATGGAAAACAATGAGTCTATCAAACAACAAAATAATATTTACCACGAAAAGATTACGGAGCTTACATCAAATGTTATAGATCTAAAAGAGAAAGCCCAAAAGTTTAAAGAACTTTATCAGAGGTTACTGCGGGAGAATGAGAAGCTGGCAACAGTGAGAGATGAACTTCAGGAACAGCTTGGTGTAGGCGAATTTTAAATTTTTTACTACAATAATTTTTATTTTCGAAATTTCAAATTAATGAATTTAGATTAAAAAATTCTATTACATGCTCTTTTTCTTATATGCTTCTACACCAATTTTTCAAAAAATTAATGTCATTTCATTTTAGGGATTCAAAAAACTTCAAGAAATGATATTTTCTCAGTTAAATGAAAAAATGAAAGCAATGGATCGATCTTTACTTGAGAAAATTGCACTAGACATCGAAATGATTGATGGTCATCAAGGTATATAATATTATATTTTGTATATATTATCATTTTTTATATATCAATGCCAAATGTTTAGAGTCAAATTTTACATGGATGCGGTTAAATATGTATAAATTATACTTCACAGACACAAACATTTCTTACTTTTATTTATCAATTTAAAAGTAAAAATACTTTTTTTAATATTTATAGCTAATTTACAATTTTATTGTAGTTATTGGTAAAAGTTAAATTTATAAAATATTTTGAACACTTGTCAAATGGATCAATTTCAAAAGCATTTTCAAAACAGTTAAGCTGATTACATTTTACAACAGAAAAGTTTTACAGATATCTTGGTATACAATTATCAATCTTAGTCAATTTGAACCTCCTGATTTTGAATATGCAAACTGTTTGCTTCTATCAGTCTTAATTCTTAAAATATCCACAATTTTAAATTTTATATTTTAATGAATTACTACAAATCGTAAGAAATGTAATTTTTGCACAAAACTTGTGTTTTAAAAATCAATGCTACCTGAATTGTTAAACATAAACATGAAAATCGCTAGAGCTACTGTATATATATAAATAACATAGATAGTTATCTGATGAACAGAAATTCAATTAAAAGTGTATATCTGTTAGATATGTTCAAAAATTAATTAAACATGTTTATGGTTTAAATTTTTTCGCTGTGAACTTCCAGTTAAACATATGAGTTAGCATCCAACAGTAGTCTGCCAGCATAGCTGCACTTTTCTGACCTTTTAAATGTGACAGAAATATATATATATGTGTGTGTATATATATATATATATATATATATATATATATATATATATATATATATATATATATATATATATATATATATATATATATATACACACACATATATATATATTTCTGTCACATTTAAAAGGTCAGAAAAGTGCAGCTATGCTGGCAGACTACTGTAAAATTATGTTTTAAAATTTTTAAAACATGCGCAGAGTGTTGCTACATCCACTATCTTATAACCTGACTCGCTAGGGAGTGATGCTACATCGACTGAAGGTTTGGTTTGGGCAGGCAGTCTATCATTTAAAAAAAAAATTATTTAAGTTTTTTAACTTTTTCTGATCTGGTTTATAAGCGCTCTCTTCAAAACTACAGTTTATGGGAAAAACTTTTCGATGACCATGCAAGTCTATTTAGATTTGTTTTTATGTGTTAAAAATGATTTTCGGCAAAAACCCATATGCATCCTGAAATTTAATCAATGCTGACCCTACTTTCAAAGATGTGTTTCAAAGATGCATCTATATCTCCAGCAATGATGACTGAATTACAAATTAAAGATGTACATCCATTCTTTATGGAAAAATATATAAACTATCAGATAGACTTGTGATGTCTATCTGATAGTTTATATATTTTGACGTCTATATGGCATCATATTATGACGCCATATACACATCAAAATTTATAAACTAATTGCTTATTGCTTGCTTTCAGTTATATATCGTGTAAATATATTTTTAAATAACCAGACCATTGCCATAATATTAAATGTTCCTTTTTCTTTTTTTTCAATGATGATTTTTAATCAAAGTAAACTTAGCAAATTTAAAATTTAGATTTTTAATAGTTATGATAAAATAGTTATGACAAAACTCTCATTAATTTAATATAGTACTGTACTAATTTAATATAGTACATGCAAATTAATTTAATATAAATACATTTTTGGCATAAACAAAAATTGGATAGAAAACAAAAGTTAATAATTTATGCTACATTTTTATTGTTGAAAGTTATATTTATTTCTATTTATTTTTTTATTTATCATTTTCAAATGATCTGAAACATTAAGAAATACTATAAATGTTCCATAAATATAAGAAATATTATAAATGTTCCACTTTGGTTAACAACATAACTAGCATAGTTAAACTTTATAGTCATATGACATAAACTTTATAGTCATATGACATATGACATGATAACATATATATATATATATATACATATATATATATATATATATATATATATATATATATATATATATATATATATATATATATATATATATATATATATATATAGGGGGGGGGGGGGGGTGAGTAGGGGGCAACCAGAGTTTGGGGAGGCACATTACCTTCATAAAATTTTTTTTTAAGAATTGCACTTGTGATAAATATATTTTATTGATTTATGTGCTTTTTATCATAACTATTAAGTACATATATATATATATATATATATATATATATATATATATATATATATATATATATATATATATATATATATATATATATATATTAGGCTGGTTCTTAAAACAACTTTTTTTATAAATGACTGCTGGCACCCTCTGAATATGTTGTATATAATAAAAAAATTCTGGATTTAAAAAATTTTTGAATAAAAATTATTTTATGGGGTTGCTAACCGACCTTCAAACATTAAATAGGTCCCTAATATTATAAAAAAAAAAGTTTTTCAAAAGTATGTCATGTTGGGTCTCAAAAGAAGCGAAATTATA